TGGGTGCACCACCAAGTGTGGGGGATGCCCTCGGGGTCATAGTGAACAACTTCAAGGTCTGGAAGATCTAGTACCTATTGGCAAACCTGTTAAGGTGCCAAAGTTGGATCACTAGGTGGTCTTATGGCTAAAAAAAAGGACAAGGTCCTTGCGAGGTTAAGAGATAAAGTTCCTAATTCAAAAGTGTTGATTTGAACTATTGATGATGGTGTGGCTTAGTCAAGGTAACCAAGTGGGAAGAATACCTAAGGGAAAGAATTATGTTAATGTGATGGCATAATAAGTCTGAGAAAAGTAGTCTCTATAAGAGATCCAAGGGAGGGTCTCAAAAGTGGGGCCATGGATAAAGCCTACAGTAGAAAATGTTAAAGAAACATACTAAGGGTGAACACCCTCTGGACTTGGCAAAGTAAAGTGTTTGCTATGGAACCGAAAGGAAACCTCGAAAATGGAGGTAGTGATTCTATGTTGCTGGGGGCAACAATCAAGGATAGGAGCAAAAGACTAGTGGCTAAGAAAAGACCCATGGGAATCATGGGAAAGAATCTAAATGGCAAAGTTAGGCCGAGAACACTAATGTGTTGAGTGCTAATGGATTGTGAAAAATGCAATATTTCCCCAATGATGGATTCCCAACCACTCCGATTTGGCGAAAGTGGAAGCTTCAAGAGGGGCAGCGTCAAGGTAGCTAAATAATAAGGTCGGGGGCAGCCCTAGCACCAATTATGATAACTGGAACTTAGTGCCAAAAGTGGCACGATGTCGATGAGAGGATGATAGTGCCCTCAAGTAAAGAACTTCCTAGGATGGGGAAGTGGAGTTGCACCATGTGCAACGTAAGGTGTTGGAGACACTTAGGAAATTGACTCTGAGAAGTCAAAATTAAAAGTTCTAAAGTGCAAAGGTTATGTCGATGGAATCTAAGACTACACGAGAATGAGTAGTGGAATTGAGTTAGAAAAGGTGTCTCTAACGGGTTTAGCGAAAACTGAACCAATAAAAGGGAGTAAACCACCCCAGGTGGCCGAATGAGTCTCTATGTTGGAGAGACTATGCTCCTTAAAGGATGGATAAGGCATGATGAGCTTTCGCTATCAAACCATAGACAAATATTAGCCAGGTGCCAAGGATGGAAACAGTAATAAAAGGGTTTACCGTTCAATGAGGACATCGAACTTTGTTTATGGGTGGTGGAGTTGTGAGACACAAAATCCTTAGGCCCCAAAGTGGAGCCAAAAGGGCGCCATGTGGTAGTGGCTGAAGCAAAAGCCAAACGAGCGTAACACGCTTGGACTAAAAGCTCCGACTTGAAAGGTCAAGAGCGAGAGTGGAACTCCCAATAAAGTGCTCGAGGAATGAGCACGAAGCAAGCAATAAAAGAGGCTCTAAAAAAGGGACCCAAAAGGACTAACACATGACATGTGGAAGTGTCTGAGATAGACTTGAGATGGAGTCTGAGATGGGGTCCAAGATGGAGTCCGAGATGGAGTCCGAGATGGAGTCCGAGATGGAGTCCGAGATGGAGTTCGAGATGGAGTCCAAGATGGACCGAGATGGAGTCTGAGATGGAGTTCGAGATGGATCCGAGATGGACCCGAGATGGACCCGAGATGGAGTCTGAGATGGACCCAAGATGGAGTCCGAGATGGACCGAGACAGAGTCCGAGATGAGGTCCGAGATGGACTCGAGATGGAATCTGAGATGGAGTCTGAGAAGGACCCGAGATGGAGTCTGAGGTCAAGACCGAGACAAGGACCGAGACCGAGATCAAGACCCAGACCGAGACCGAGACCGAAATCGGGACCGAGACCGAGACCGAGGTTGAGGTCGAGACCGAGCCCGAGCCCAAGTCCGAGTCCGTGTCCGAGTCCGAGTCCGAGTCCGAGTCCGAGTCCGAGTTTGAGTCTGAAAGGGTAAAAGCCCAAAGCGTTCATCTCCTAGACCCTAGGGGGTTTGGTGAGCTCCAAAAGTATAGTAGGGGGAGGACTGCAGTGGAGCCAGTTTGGCCAAGAAAGGCCAGTTTGGCTTAGGAAGGCTGTACCCAGTGTTGGGTGATGAGCTGCCCACTGGGAAGTCCAAGACTAGAGTGAACACGGACCGACAAGCGAGGTAGCTTGGTGAAGTGTTCAAAAGCCGGCTTTAGTTCCCCTGGGAGATCAATTGGCCGATGCTCCCAGTCAAAGTGTGGGTGGCACTACCTACTTGGATACCTGGTGTGGCTCAACGGAACCTTGCTCTAAACCCACGGCTAGAGCACCCAAAGGCAGAAGGCAGGGAGAGTACCCATGAGGCTCGCGTAAGGCCACGGTGTTCCGAAATGTTGCCCCAAGGTCCCAGACTGTGAAAAGGAAGAGGAGCTGTCCTATAGTGTAGAGACCAAGGATGCAGTCATGTGAGGAGGAAGTCCCAGACGACCGTGGGACTTAGTGGTCGGGCTTGTGAGCCTCGATCCAATGGCAATATTGGCGAACACGGCTATGGGCAAAAAAGGACTTGGTGGAGACTGGAAAAAGGATGTTAGGGAAGGCTATTCCCCATGTCTGTGTGCATCCTAAGGATGCTAAGGAGTGGATCTGGGATGATCACTCATGGACAGATGGCCCAGTCTTTGAGAGACGGGATTGTAATGTAGGTGGTGTCAGACCACTGGTGTGACCAAGGTGATTGGGCATGGCCTCAGTGTAACAGGCTGATATGTCGGTGGTACCTTGGGGTGTCGATCATGGGATTGGACACGTAGAGCATTTGGACCAAGTGCAAAGGTTGAGTGGCATGGATGCCATTCTTGGGGCTGGCAAGCCCCAAATTTGGAATTGGACTTATAGTTGTGAATGAGATTCCTCCAAGTGGTCGGAAGTATGGTTAAGTGACTAAAGTAGAATGGAAAATTTAGTCACTTACACCCGAGAGGAAGTTTGAGGTCGAGTCCAAGATGGACCCAAGATCATCAATCATACACTGTGATCTTCCTTGGAAACCACAAAATAATCAAACTCCATCGATCCAAAGCATTGACAGGCCTCTTTCAAATGACTTGAGTGGCTCAACGCTCTGTAAGAATGCTCATAAATGTTCGACTAACACCCTCCAATTGAGAATGTAAAGGAGAGTCTTGGAACATCCCTGAAGCAGTGAAGTCCACAACACAATGCTTTCGATTGGCACAGCGTCAAAGAGCTTCTTAGCATCGCATATGAGTGCTCCACAGTAGTTTAATCTGAATCATGCCTTAGTGTCAAACTCGATTTCCTTCTCCACTGGATTCGACGAATTCCCCTGGAAAGCCACACTAGTAGAGTTAGCGAAAAGAAAGAGAGAGAGAGGGATAGAGTGGGATTTTATCATGAAAGCGTGAACATCAGCCAGCAGAGCCTGTCACTTCCAAAAAGAGTAAACGAAAATCGCAAGTTCACAGCAGCAATGTCCTGGATTGTTGCATTGCGCAATCGATCTCTTACAACCAGGTTACTAATCACTTGACTTGGATACCAGGAATGCCGCCACCGCCGCATGCTATCAAAAAGGTTCATTCACAAGTCCAGGTCTACCAAGAACATAAATCATGTCTGAAAACACAAAATAATCAAACTCCATTGAACCAAGCTGGAGTGGCTCAATGCTGTAAGAATGCACACATAAATGTTACTTAGTCCTGACTAACACCCTCCAAATTGAGAACGTAAAGGAGAGCCTTGGATGCCGCGAATGGGCATATGCTGTGTCTCTGGTGGGCATCAAATTCATTATGATTTGTCAAAAATGTTAGTTAAGGATGGCAAGCATGGCATTCCACATCACTCCGTAGCGATACGGCATCGATTCCAACAGCTTCCTTGTCGTCAACCAGGCGAGGGTGTGTCATGTTTGACACAATACCCCACGTGGAACATTAGTGCCTTGCTCGTGATATAAGATACCAGGTCATCTGGTCATGGAGATTCCCAGCCTGGGCATATGCTGTGAGCAGAATCGTCCATCTATGAGACCAAGTCCGCCTGTGGCATCTCTCTAAGTGTGCTGTCCAAAAACTCTATATTCTGGGGATGGGAATATGCTCTAAGCAATCTCATTCCAAGAGACAATGTTCTCTCATTCATTGCATCAACGATCCCTTTGGCCGATGCCAGATGCCCATCCTGGGAATACCCCTGAAGCAGCTAAGTCCATGTGGGCATATGACTGTATCTTATCCGCCACTGTGCCTTGGCACGTGTCTCAAGTACATTGCACGTCTCCTAGCCCACGTTATTCATGCTAATAGTATAAATATATGTCTTCCTCCACTCTATATACATACCACTCTCTGTAGCTATCTTTGCAGCAGCACAGTTTAGTCCCTGCGTAGCAAATCCCATGGAGAAGGCAGCAAAGATTGCTTTTATTCTCACACTCATAGTTGCAATTTCATTTGCCTCACTTGAGTTCACCAATGCTATTGAGATAGCTCCCAACACAAAGTTTGTGCCGGCTTCTTCTCTTCTCTCATACTTCAGGAACCTGAAAGAGATGGAGTGCATGCCGCACTCTCAATGCTGCCCCGACTCCAAGCCCTGCCCATCAGAGGACCAGGAGTGTAAGATCTGTGCCAAAATTTATCCTGCACTGTGCTTCTGCACAGACAAATCTGGGCTTAACAAGCTGATGCTGTAATCTGGAGGTATGACTTAATTCGTGTTTCTTTATACTCAGTGCTAATCATTTGTGTGTCCTAGAAGATGGACAACTTGATGCACACCTTCTGATCTAAAGAATGGAGTAATAAATGTCTTTATGTGCTAAAACTATGTGATTTTGGGCATTTTTCGCTTTGCAAGTGATCCATTAGTGGTTATTTCTTTGATAGCCACGACATGTACTGTGTAATTCGCTACTGGTAATAATAAAAAAACTCTCAAGCTTGTTTGAGAGTTGACAACGACAAGTCTTAACGGTGACGTGTCAGCACGGCATGATGACGTGTCTGTACGGTTTGGGTCTAGGGTTTTGGATTTTTTGTCTATGTCTTCTAGGGTTTTACAGGCAGCGGTGGCGGTGAGGATGGAGAGCGTGAGAGGCGGCGCGCCCGTCGACAAGGCTGTGGATTTCGCGAATTACTTCTGCACCTACTCGTATCTCTATCACCAGAAGGATATGCTGTCGGATCGGGTGAGAATGGATGCCTATCACTCGGCCGTGTTTAAGAACAAGCGCCATTTCCAGGGAAAGGTAGGAGATCTCTCTTCTTATTCTTCGCATTCTAGTGTTTCAATCGATGGTTTTGGATCGAGCAGACTGTCTTGGACGTGGGGACTGGGAGTGGGATTTTGGCGATTTGGTCGGCGCAAGCCGGTGCTAAGAAGGTGTACGCGGTGGAAGCTACAAACATGGCTCGCCACGCGCGGAGCTTGGCGAGCGCGAATGGAGTGAGCCACATTGTGGAAGTGATCGAGGGGTCGATTGAGGATGTTTCCATTCCCGAGAAAGGTGAGTGTTGTTTCTTTTTCCCTTGCATTTTTCTTTCCTTCTCGTTTGTGTTTCTTCGTCTCTTTGCTGAAGAGACGGTGTGTGTGTGTGTGTGTGTGTGTTATGCGATGCGACTATATACCAGGCTTGTTTTGTGACTTTCGTGCTGAGCAGTCGATGTGATCATCTCCGAGTGGATGGGCTACTTCCTTGTTCGTGAATCTATGTTTGATTCGGTGATTTATGCGCGTGATCGTTGGCTCAAACCATCTGGATTGATGTATGTAGTCTTTGATTTGTCTCCTTTTTGTACACTGGCTCACTCACAATCTTTTTTTGTTGCCCAGGTATCCCAGCCATGCTCGTATGTGGTTTGCTCCCATAAAGACCAAACTCGTAGAGCAAAAGAATCAAGAGTATCAGAAATCACTGGCGGATTGGAGCTACTTTTCTCAAGAGCTAAACGAGGCGTATGGTGTTGATATGAGCACCCTGACAATGCCATATCACGAGGAGCAAAAAAAATACTACTTACAGGTAAAATGTCTCTCTTTTTCTCTAGACTACCTAGCTAAAAACGAAGTTGTTTTTTTTCACTTCCAGACGTCCTTATGGTCGAACTTATATCCGGGTCAAGTGATTGGCGACCCGGTTGTTGTTAAAGAGATCGATTGCTCCAATGCAACGCTCCAGGACATTGCTGCTGTGAAGTCGCGATTTTCGTTTACACTTTCTGGAAGCGATAGGCTCTGTGGATTTGCCGGCTGGTTTGACGTTCACTTTCGGGTCCGCTTTCGTTCTTTGCGGATGATGAAACCTCTCCCGCTCTCTCTCTCTTTTCCTTTTCTCTAACTAGTGTGGCTTTCCAGGGGAATGCGTCGAATCCAGCGGACAAGGAAGTCGAGTTGACAACCTCTCCAAGTGACACTGACACAACACACTGGGGCCAACAGGTGCTTTGAAGCGTTTCTCTTTGCTACTGCTAGTGAGAGTTATTTTTCTCTCGACAGGTTTTCCTTCTCCAGCCTCCACTCGTGATCGAAGACGGCGATGTAGTCCAAGGCTCGATCGAGATCACACGCTCCAAAGACAATCACCGGCTCATGGATGTCAAGATCACTCACGAGCTTCGCTCGTCGGGAGAACAGTTTTATCCGGCAACGGTTTGCAACTTCTTTATCGAGTGAAAACTAAGATTTTCCTGATTCTTTCAAGCAAAACTATAGACATTGACACTCACGAAAGGGTACCACCTCTTCATGACTTAATATTAACTATTCCTTTTTCATACTATTCCTCCTGAGCTCCAGGTACTGCTGCGATCCAAAAATGGCACTTTTAGGGGACAACACCCAGCCTTACACCATAGATCATCCTAAATCTTTCACGAAGAACAATGATATAGATATATCGTTGTTCTTTGTGAAAGGTTCAATGAAGTATGGTTACACCATAGATGATCTAAACGTTGCTAGAAGTTTGAGGATCAAGCTTCCCTCTCGAACATACTTTCGAGTTGCGGCGCGTGAAAATGATGAAATTCCCACTGGTTTGCATCTGGATGTCAAGGACTTGGAGCCACAGCCAGCTCGCACTCCGTTCTATATCAGTGAAGACTGGTACTTTTTGTTTGACTGATGCTAATGACAATACAATCAAGTCAGGCCGGATGCTGCCAGACGAAAAGCTTGTTGTCAAGTGATTACAAGAGGGAAGTAGCAACAAAGACCAAACAGAGCGAGCGAGCTTGATTAAATGCCTTATACATAACTTTGAATGGAAGATATATAAAATATAAACGTCTGTATTGAAGCAGAAATTTCCCCGACTCTGAAACTCAAAAAAATAATAAAAAAATGCAAACATCCCAAAGGGAATCCCGCACACAAAGGAAAACAACAAAGAAACACGAGATAAGTTAAGCATACCTCCAGATTACAGCATCAGCTTGTTAAGCCCAGATTTGTCCGTGCAGAAGCACAGTGCAGGATAAATTTTGGCACAGATCTTACACTCCTGGTCCTCTGATGGGCAGGGCTTGGAGTTGGGGCAGCATTGAGAGTGCGGCATGCACTCCATCTCTTTCAGGCTCCTGAAGTATGAGAGAAGAGAAGAAGCCGGCACAAACTTTGTGTTGGGAGCTATCTCAATAGCATTAATGGACTCGGAGTGAAGCAAATGCAAATGCAACAGTGAGTGTGAGAACAAGAGTGATCTTTGCTGCCTTTTCCATGGGATTTGCTTTGCGAAGACTAAACTGTGCTGCTTGCAAAGATAACTAGAACCTAAAAATGGTCTGTCTATAGAGTGGAGGAAGACATGTATTTATGCTATTAGACAAGCCTTGCATGAATACCATGGGCTGGCTGTTATTGTGATCGTGGGCTTCGCTTTTGATGCAGCTTAGAGCATATGCCCATACACAGAATATAAAATCTTTGGACACCGATGCCACACGTCTCGTTTGTGGACGATTCTGCTCACAGCATATGGGTGCCTATAGCGAGGCTTGGACTGATTATGGTGTGGGCGTGGGGACGGCCATGGTGGCGGCATATGCCCATTCATGGCAGCCGGACTTCTTATTTGAGAACATGCCCTGACGGTCACTAGCGCCGCGAAGAGCAGGAAGATTCCATACTTGAGATGGCACAGCAGCCATAGAAACGCCTGCGCGATCAGAAACGTGAACAAGAGATTGACCAACACCGTGATGCTCTGCCCCGCTGATCGCGTCTCGAGCGGGAAAATCTCGCTCAGACGCTAACAGGTGCTTCGAAGCTGTTTTCTCTCTTTGTGATCAACGGTTTTCCACTCGCTCCGAAAACCACCAGCTCGGTCAAGATCACGAGCTTCGAGAACAGACGAAGTTCTTCCTGATTACATTAAACACCCTTTCTAATTCCTCTTGACCTCAGTTTGCTCCAAAAGTTGTTAGAAGTTTAAGAACCAAGTTTCCCTCTCGAACTTGCTTTCATGGTGGCCCGTGAAAGTGATGAAATTCCCAGTGGAAAAGAAAAATTTGCACGAGGTTAAACACTGCCTTTGTAAAAATTTGCACGTAACAGTGATTTTGTCAAAAAGGCTTGCACTGCCCGGGAATCGAACCCGGGTCTGTACCGTGGCAGGGTACTATTCTACCACTAGACCAGCAGTGCATCATGTTGGCAATGTGAGGTTTATTCTAACAAAACCGCGCTAAACCCTAAGCAGAGAATATACTCGAATATCCCAGCTTAAACCCTAGAGGCGGCGGCCATGGACTTATAAGCGAGGGCGCCGCGTTTTCTTCAAGCCCAGGTATGCGGCGTTTTGCGTCTTTGGTAGCACAGTGATGAGAGAATTTGGGTTGATGAGCGGGGAAGAAACATCCCCCTTTGATTCTACACAACCTCCTACTCATACTGAGTGCCCTCTTCCTCCATTTTTGCTGTCTTTGTTGTTGTTTGGGCAGAGGATGATAGATTCTTGATGGGTAATTTGCGGCTGACCACATTGGTGTGATGCCTCACCTTGGAGACCTGATGCCCATTTGAATGAATGAATCCTCTCGAGAGAGACCCTATAAATCTTGATCGAAACGCTGTGAACTTTTGTCTTTCAGGGCTCTCTGATCTTTGGAGATGGGCGATGGCTCTGTTTTGAGCCGAGTGAGCAGCGGCATTGCCGAATCGAGGCGCGCAGTGAGCAGCACTTGCGTGTTTGGAGGCCGAGTGCTGCGCAGCACGGGCAAGGCGGCATGGATTGCAGGCACAACCTTTTTGCTGCTGGTTGTGCCACTTATTTTTGAGGTGGACAGGGACCAGCAGCTGCAGGAGCTTGAGTCTCAACAAGCGACGCTGTTGGGTGGTGCGGCCCAGCCTGCTGCTGCTGCTGCGGCTGCGGCCAAATGAGGATATAACCATGATTTTGTTCTATCCTGATGATTCCTGAAGGTCCCGAGTATGGGCACTCATACGAACATAAAAACTGTTAATTGCCTTGGGATCAGAAAAAAAAAAACTAATATGAAAGAAATAAAAATAGTTGAATATTCATTTGGCTGTTTACAAGAAGCATGAGACCAAGATATTAAGCTGTTTTGATGATCTCATGAGCCATTTGATGGATTATAGTAAAATCTGTTTTGATTCTGCCACCAAGTCTTTTGTCCATGCCCTGAGCTTCACTGATCTGCTTAATGCCCTTCATGAAGCTCAGATCTGCTTAATGCCCTTCTTATTGCATCTTAGGTTGCTTATGGCATCTTGGGTAATGTGATCTTTCTTGAGCTTCACTCATGCTATTATTACATCTTGGGTTAATTTTGGGTTGGATGTCACTTGAAAAATTGATATTGTGAGTGTTTGGAATATGGAAAGGGAATACAAGAAAATGTGCATATCAATTAGCCCAAAAACCCTAGTTTATATATAGAAGCGAGTGGTCCGAATTGAAACCAATCCGACGGTTACTAAAATCCCACTATGCTAATATTAATATAGTCGTACACTTGGCCTTCACATCATCCCCTCCTCTTGGAATAATGGAAGACCATTAGGGTTCTTTTGTAGATGGGCCGGGATCGGGAGGAACGTCAGGAGGAGGCATTGGTGGATTTGTAGGTGGTATTAAATCCTCCTAATCCCTTTGTACTAAGAGTTTTAGTTGCTGCACATGCACAATTTCTGGAGTATTGGCCTGTTAAATATCATGCCGAACCTTATAAACTTGTGGTCCAACTTGCCGCAACACTCGATACGGTCCTTTTTACTGCGCAAGAAGCCCTTTAGATAAACCATGTATTGTAAGATGGGGAAAACGGACTAACACAAAATCATCCACTTTGTACTCCGCAAGTGGATGATGATGGGAATTGTAGCGCCATTGTTGTCCCACTTGTACACAGCCTAAGTGTTCAACAGACTCTGTTCGGACAAGTGGAAGAATACTCGTCAAATACTGATCACATGACCTAGCATCGATAGCTCGTGGCAACCGCAAAGGTAAACCCAACTCCGTTGGTAATATTGGATCATGACCATATAGGAGTTTATATGGTGAAGCACCAATAGAACTCTGCACCCCTGTGACATATGCATACCGAAGAGACGGCAAATAACCATCTCAATCCGAATGTTGAAAGTTCACATATTTCGCAATCATCTTTTTAAATGTCCGAATGAGCCGTTCTACCAGACCGTTTGATTGTGGATGATAAGCACTCGTGAAAGTGTGGCGTATCCCCAACCGAGACGTCAAGACATGAAATGCCTCAACCATAAATGCAGGACCATTATCCGAAAGAATCCGCTCTGGACAAGAATACTGGAGCACCACTTGATTGAGGAGGAAGTATCCAACAGTAGTTGCAGAGGCGCTAGCAAGAGCACCAACTTCCACCCAACGAGTTATGTAGTCAGAAGCAATAATAACATACTCATTGTTAGCAGTCGACCGTGGAAAAGGTCCTATAAGATCAAATGCCACCAACTCAAACGAACAGGAAACTGCAATTGACTCTAACCGTCCTTCCGCAACACGAGGGGGAGTATTACGAGCTTGGCACCAAACGCAGCTACGCATATACCGGATAATATCACATCGCATCTCCAGCCAATTAAAAGACCGGCGCAGCTTCTCAGTTAGACAACAATGTCCCATATACCCACCTTGAATTGGAGAATCATGGTAGGCATGGAGAAACCGCAGAATAAAGATAGAAGGCACCACCAGCCATAAATGATCATCAGGATCCGTCCCCACAAAATAAAGAAGGCCATCTTCAAAGCGATATTGAGAATGTAAATGCAGGAAAGGCAAGTCATCAGCAAGTGATGCAAGATTCTCAAACCCATCTCGAAGCCTTCAAATTCATGGCTTAATTTTTTTAGCCTCGCAAACCTCATCAAGAGAAGGTAGATCTTGCTCTACGCCTTGTGGACACTGAACGTCAAGAACAGCAACTGTCGAGGGCATAGAATCCTCGTCTAGAAAATCCACAAATGCTGGAACAATAGGTTCATCAGAAACATGAGAAATGAGTGGAGAAGGAAGAGGAGCTCGAGAAAGGGCATTAGCATCAGCCATAGAACTCCCTGGGCGATGAACAAAATCATAAACATATATCTGAAACTTCAAAGCCCACTGAACAGTATGACCAACTAGGTTCTTCCGCTTCAATAATGAAGTAATAATAGCATGGTCACCTTCAAGTAACGTCCAAGAACCATGTAGATATGCATGAAGTTTCTTGAAGTTTTTAGACTGCTGCTAAACACTCCTTCTCTGTCGTGGAGTAGTTTATCTCTGCTAGTTGTAATTTATGACTTATATATACAATGGGATGGCGGTGATCAGGCACACTCGAGCTCTCTTGCATTAACACACCTCCAAGACCAATGTCAAAAGCATCCACGTGCAAAACAAAATGTCGAGTGTAGTTAGGATATGCCAAAACTGGAGGAGTTGTCAATAGCTCTTTGAAATCCCCGAATGCCCGCTCACAATCCGGAGACAAGATGAAAGATGACGTTGATGATTTCAGCAATGCTCGCAACGGTGCAGTACGATCAGAAAGATGATCCATAAAACAACCGAGATACTGCACCTTGCCTAAGAAGCGTTGCACATCATTCACTTCGGAGTAGGGAACTTCAGAATAGCCACAAGTTTGTCAGGATCAACTTGCAAACCCTCACGAGAAATATGGTACCCAAGATAAGTTGTGTCCTTGGACCCAAACATGCACTTCGACCGCTTCAGCTTTAAACCAACGTCACGTAGCCAATCCAACACTTTACAAACATCACAAAAGTGCTCCTCCTACGTCCCCTCTGAGTGGATCAAGACATTAGCAATGAAGTCAACAGTCACCTCCGGCATATTGCAAAGAACCTCGTCCATCATCTGCTGGAAAGTTGCTGAAGCATTGTTTAAACCAAACGGCATCACCAAAATCTCATACAAACTAAATGGTGTATGAAAAGCAGTCTTTGGAATATTTTCTTCGGCCATCGATACTTGCCAGTACCCAGAAGCAAGATTTAACTTGGTGAACCAACGACTTCGCCCCAAATGATCCAAGAGATCAGCAGTGTGAGGAAGAGGGTACACATCTGGGATCGTCACTTCCTTTAACGGATGATAGTCGATACAGAAACGAATACTCGTATTAGGCTTCATCACAAGATGAGATTCACATGCCCAAGGATTCCACAACTTCTGAATAACACCCTTCTCCAACATCTCCTTGACGTTTGCACATAAAATCTTGATTTCCTTGGGCGACCGACAACGAACAAAAACCTTGATTGGATGAGCATCCCCGGTTGGAATCGGATGACGTGTGGCAATCTTGGCCCCAGATGATAGGTCAAAGTCAAAGAGATCAAAATACTCCTTCATGAGCCGGTCAACCATTGCAACACAAAGATCGTCGGAGGGATCGAAAAAGGGAAGAGCAGAATAAGATGGAAATATAAGAAGAAATAGTGGGGGAACAAAAGTAATGGAAGCAGAAGTAGAAGTAAAGGGACGAAGAGGTACGGAAGTGAGAGGAATGGATGAAATATAAGGAAGTATGAGAGAAGGGGGAGAAGCCTCAAAGTTATATTTGGCATGATTGCGTTGCAACCAATCTATACCAAGAATGAGGTCAAAAGCTTGACTCAACACCACCCGCAACGACTGCAACTCAAGCTCGAGATCGCCCACACGTACAACCAGGTCCGCCTTATCCCATGCACATGCATGTGTATGGTTGTTGCCATAAAAAATGAAAATTGGTTCCACCGCACGACGCAAGTGTAAATGGTAACGTGTGGCAATAGGTCGAGCAATAGAAGATAAACTCAAACCTGTATCAACCAATACGAAGAGAATAATATGAAACCTCTTGTTATAAAAACGAGCTTGGAACATAAACACTAGATGAACCGGTGCCAAGTGAACCCCTTGATAATACTCCCGAAAGAAAGATAGAAGGGTCATTGACTTATTTGCGCAAGGTCCCTCCGTTACTTGCGCGACTCTTCATTTCCCGGATGCATTTTGGTGTCCAAACCTTCCACGGCAGCAGCACCAATGGGACGTTGCTGACGCCAAGGTCTCCAGCCAGGAAATGGAGGTCGCCAATCCAGAAAACGCCGACAATGCCGATAAGTATGACCAACTTCATCACACGCCCAGTAACGAACATCACAGCTATGACCACGTCCTCGCCCTTGTCCTTGGACTCAAGTAGCAGCAGCATCAACCTCCATTGGAACAGGACCATCACCCATAGGAAGTGGAGCTGAAGGACGTGTAGTGAGAAGTGGAAGAGGCGACGTCTCATAACGTTGTGCCAAGTGAAGAGCATCATCAAGGGTGGCGGGAGCAAGTGCATGCACAAGTCCGACAAGATCTTGATGAAGTGCTAGCCACAACATTCCTAGCTTGATCCGCTCCGACATATTTGGCTTCGCATGAAATAAAAGACTTTGGAAACGAATGCCAAATTGCATCATCGACTCAGATGGCCCTTGGCGAAGACGATGCAATTGTTGGAAGG